TGCGCCTGATACAGGCCATGGTCTTCGCAGTTACTTGCTGTACATCAGAGAGCTGAACAATGGCTAAGGATGACAGAAGGAGAATCAATGCCTTTGAGTTATGGTGTTGGAGAAGAGTTTTGAACATACCATGGGTCACTAAAAGAACAAGTAAGTCTGTCCTGAGAGGGTGAAACCAAGCTGCTCCTTGAAGACAAATATTTTGAAGCTCTATTTCACATACTTTGGGCATATTGCCAGGAGAGACCAGTCCTTAGAGAAAGACATCATTTGTGGAAGGGTGGAGGGACGGCACAGGAGAGGAAGATTTTGATTGAGATGGATTGACACAGTGTCTGGGGTCAGGAAGGTAGGTGTATCAGAGACAGTGAGACTGACTCAGGATAGGAAAGGGTTCTGGGCATTTATACCTAGGATTGCTATGAGTTGCAGATGACTGGATGGCACACAACATCACCACCAACAACATTGATTTCTGTTTAAAAACTAGCTTAGAGAAAGTGGTATGTGTAAAGTTAAAGCTCCATGGTCCAGACAGGAGATGTTCATGGTCCTGATGGTGAAGCTTCATCTCACATACTTTGGACATGTAGTTAGGAGAGACATCTTGAGACATCCTACTTGGAAAGGTAGATCAGCGAAGGAAAGATTCATTTTCACAATGACTGCAGAGGATGGGACAGGAGAGGACAGGGTTCAGAGCTGTTGTTCATAGGGTCACTGTAAGTTGTACTTGACTCAGCAGCACAAAAACAACAATAATGCATGCAGCGTACAGCAACATTTCCTGCAAAGGAGAGAAAAAGCCCAGATCTAGACAACTTTACTGGTGAGTTCCATCAAGCTTTCCAAGAAGGACTAAAACCAATCTACAGACTTTCCTATCTGATGACTTCTGCTAACTCTCTAAAGTTCCCATCACCAAGATCCATAGTACAAAACCAACTCCTCTGAGGTCGGATGTGGTCTCCCACACTCCTGCATATGTTGTTGTTGTGTACCGTGGAGTCGGAGCCAGCCCATAGCTGGCCCTCCAGGGGGTTTTCAGAGGCAATTAATCACACAGGAGCATGTTGCCCATCCTTCTGCAGAGCAGCTGGTGGATTTGAACTGTGTGCCTTCAGAATTGGAGTGCAGCTTCTTGCCACTAGGCCACCAGAGCTCCCTGCTCTTGCATCTACTTTTGCTGTGGACTCAGAATCTACATAGAGCTGACCCTCCAGTGAATTTTGGGAGGCTGTAAATTATGGGTGGAGATTGCCCATCTTTTCCCCTCAGAGCAGCTGGTGACTTTGAACCGCCAGCAGGGTGCCACCTTTAGTTAGCAGACCCTAGGGTCTGTGTGACCAGAGCTCCCTCACCCACTGGGCTGTCTACAGTAGAGATATTGTGGGGGTATCGTAGCACTCGTTCATGGCTTGAGGGAACAGAGAATGGTGCTACCACTACACCAGTGGTGCTACCAAGCTGCTTGTCTGTCCCCAGATGTTCTGTGGCACGGCCATAGGAACCCCTGATGTTCCATAGCATGGCCATAGGAGCCCCCAATGTTTGCCCCCCAAGGTTCCATAGCATGACTGTAAGAGTCCCCCTGTGTTCTGTAGCATAGCCATAGGAGCCCCCCAGTGTTTGCACCCCAAGGTTCCATAGCATGACTATGGGAGCCCCTGATGTTCCATAGCACGGCCATAGGAGCCCCCTGATGTTCTGTAGCACAGCCATCATAGCCCCCCAATGCTCCATAGCATGGCCATAAGAGCCCCCCAGTGTTCACCACCCGATGTTCCATAGCATGACTATAGGATCCCCCTGATGTTCTGTAGCATGGCCATAGGATCCCCAGATGTTGCATAGCACAGCCATAAGATCTTGCACGTCCACTCCGAGACATGACTAAGGAGAAGTGAAGACACCTCTGCACGGGCACTTGTGCTTAGATTTTTACAGTAATGTTCTTCAGGATAGTCCAAAAGTGGAACTACCCAGTGTCCAGCACTTAGTGGTGGATTACAAAATGTGGTGCATCTGTAGTAGAATATTACTGGGAACAGCAGCTGGGGCTGTGTGTGTGTGTGTAACTGTTAATACTTAGGACTTCCTTTTAGTGGCTGGTGATGGTCACACAGCTTTGAGTGTATCAAAAGCCAATGAGCTGACAAATTTTAAATGGGTGGATGGGATGGTTAAAAAGTATGCCAGTTAACATTTGCAGGAGTTAATGGAGTTTATCTTAAGTGGCTTGTTAGCATAAAAATCTTGATGTTCTTGGGAGTTTGTAATCCAGGGGTTTTTTTTCTGGGAATTTCTGTTCTGGGGTCCATTGTACAGATGTGTCAGTAAAGTGAGTGTACTGAATGTTTCTGGAATGCACGTGCCAGATGCTGTGCATTTCTATTCTGTGACTGCTTGTATCCCTCATCTCAGTCCTTTCATTGCTGGTATACCATTTAAAAAAGGGGAAACTGAGGCTTAGAGAGGTTGTCAGCCCGCAAGTTTCTGTAGCTAGGAAGTTTTGGGGTGGACCTCCAGTCCTCGTCAGGTCCCAGAATTTGACTCTGCCATCAGGACAATTTTAGTAGTGGTGTCTTTTTTCAAAACAAAGGCTGTTGGGAGCTCGGGAGTGTAGTCTGTAATGTATTGGTTGCTCTGCTAAGTAAAGGAAATTTTTTCACTCAATTTTAGGCTTTTTGAGTTATCCAGTGAAAGAATTTTGTACTGGAACTAACCATAGGTGGTACAGACAATTAAGGACATGGCTGCTAACTACGAGGTCAGTGGTTTGAAGCCGTCCAGAAGCCCTTTGAGAGACGATCTTGTGGTTGGCATCTGGAAAGTTGTCCTGTGCCATCCTGTTGGGCCAAGTTTTTTATATAGCACACAGGCCCCTTAAGACAGAGTAAGTCGCTCCAACAACTGGTTAGAGTCTTTGTGTCAGCTAGGTTTTATTGTGCATTTGCTTCAAAAACATTAAGATTTTGAAGCTTTATAATGATCTCTTTCACCTACATTTGCTTTGGAACTTGGACTATTTCTAGAATATCACCCCATTGGTTGACGAGTTCAGTTTGTAAACAAGAACAAACCACGAGCATGTTGTTACTGGAGTGTGTCAGGCCGATTGGAGAGCCTTTACCAAATGCCCCACAGGACACAGTGCTCAGGGTCTGCGCCTGTAGGCAGCTGTGCCGAACAAATGACTCCTGGCCACCTTACAGCAGAGCAGCATGCTCCCGCGCTTGCCTTGTGACCATGGCATGTTTGAGCTCATTGTTGTGGCTGGGGCCTAGATCCAGCTCACTGACCATGCCCTTTGCGTTCTCTGACCCTGCTTTGCCAAGCACCATGTCCCATCCAACACTCCTTCCTTTCTGATGGACGAGTCTGGAGTCTGTGGTTGGCGAGGCAGCTTGGCCATCCTGGTCAGTGAGGCACGCCCTGGCTGAATGTCTGAGCAGAGCTGCCTGCAGGTCGTGCTCCGAGCACAGCCTGATGTGCTTTCTCCTGCCAGGTGCGGGCTCAGCCATTGCGGGCCCCAGGACCCCTGGTTGCTGAGTGTTGCCCTGCAGAAGTCAGGCGCCTGGTGGGCGGGCTTAGAGGGTACCTTGTTGCTGGCTTTTGGCTGTGAGCTGCTCTCGGTTACTAATTAGCCACAGAACTCCCAAGTCCACTGTCAGAGTTCCCTGCCCTAGCGTGTGGGCCATGTGCCAGCCGACTTGTGTCTTCGAACAGCTCAGGGGCCAAGTCCAGGACTTCTCACTGTGGAGCAAAGATTACTGCGCTCCAGGAGGACAGGTCAGCAAGCTCTGCCTTCTCCCCAAAGCAGTTATTTATCTGCAAAGATAAGATTATCTGTTTGTCCTATTCCTAACTGTGGGTGGTCTAGTCCTCCCTGTGGTGCTTGTTGAGAGGGCCACCCACAGAGGGCGCCAGAGCGCACAGAGCCTGGGGAGCTCCGGCCCCTCACGGTCACTTGTGTGGGCATCAGCCAGCCTGATGCATGCTAGACTTCTTTTAAAGGCTCCCATCTACAGGCACTTGTTTCCAGGGCATCTTCATGAGGCATATCCAGGGGTAATACTGAGTGACAGTCCTAATCAGCTGCAGAGAAAATAGCCATATTCTTTCAGAACTTCCGTTGGAGGCTGGGTGTTGAGGATTTGGGTGCTGGGTTCTGAGGGCTGAGGGCTGAGGGCTGAGTGCAGGATGCTCAGGGCTGGGTGCCGGGTGCTCAGAGTATGGTGCAGGGTGCTGGGTGCTGGATGCTGAGAGTAGGGTGCAAGGTACTGATGGCTGGGTGCAGGGTGCTGGATGCTGAGTGCAGGGTCCTGGGTTTAAGGGCTGGGTGCTGAGTACTGGGTGCTGGGTGCTGAGGGCCTGTAATTTACATACTTTATCTTCTGTCTTTTTTTCATAGAACAGAGGATTTCAGATTCATTGAATATTATTAAACTAGATTTTTCAACTTCTACAGACTGGTGGAAACATTTAGCTGGTGTTGAGGGCATTTTCAGCTCTGTAAATGTAGTAGAAAGTGATGCTTAGATGCCGAGTGGTCCAAGTCCCCCTTGAGCAGGCCTTCACTGGGGTGCAGGCACTCTTAGATATGACCTTTCTTGACTGTCTTGTCTGTGTAGATGATTACCTGCTGGCCGCGGGGATGTCAAGGTCCCTGGACTCTGGGAGTCCCTCCAGCCTGGCTCCTGTGTAGGTCCTCATCTCCTGGCTCTGAAAGCTTCTCACATCTGGTTCCTGTTTGGGTCTGCATCCCTCGGCCCTGGGGCTCTCTTCGCCCTGGCTTCTATGTATGCCTGTGCCCCCAGCTCTGGGGCCCATCCCAGCCACTGTGTGGGTTAGATACTCCCTGTGGGAGGGCACTCTGGGCCTTGGCAACTGACAGCGGTGACTGCCTTCTACTCTCAGGGTGCGGACCAGTGTTGGGGAACAGGATTTGCTTGTAGAATCATTTGGAGTAAGAAGATGCTTCCTTTTTGTATTTTTAGGCAAAAGTAAAGAAGCAGAAATAAAGAGAATAAATAAAGAACTGGCAAATATTAGATCAAAATTTAAAGGTAAGTGTATTCACCTTTCCCCTAAAATGATCTGTGAAAAATCTTATGTAGTAAGGACTTAATCTTTTTAAAAAAATATTTTTTCCATGTCAAACCCAATTAAACTCTCCATTCATGCATGTTACTGTTGGTGCATGTAGACAGAAAGTGCTCAGGACCTGCCTGTGGGGATGTGAGTGGGTTGTGGGGTGTAGGCCTTTTGCCCCTCAGAGTGTGGCCCACTCATGCTATGAGCAGGCTGGCTAAGCACATGCGGCCCATCATGTCACAGGCTTCCCTTTCTGACCTGGGGACCTGACCATGTAGGGGCCCACTCCATGCCTGTATGGGTGCTTCCTGCCCCTCCTGGATTGGAGAGATGGGGGCAGTTTGACCTGTAGGACACCTTCACAGCTTGGAGGCCTTGTCCCCCTCTCTGACCACCAGACAGTGGGTGTTGCCAGAACCTCTGTGTGGAGAGAGGCCAGGATAGACGCAGGGTACCCTGGGATGGGCAGAGGACAGCAGACAGCGGGCCTGGCAAGACTAAGCTGGTCCAGGGCCTGCTGCTGCCCTTGGGGAGAAGGTGCCTGCCTTGCTGGCCTTGTAGCCTGGAATCCCCTGACCTCACCTCTCCTCTCCTGAAGGGGACAAGGCTCTGGATGGCTACAGCAAAAAGAAGTATGTCTGCAAGCTGCTCTTTATCTTCCTCCTGGGCCATGACATCGACTTTGGGCACATGGAGGCTGTCAACCTGCTGAGCTCCAACAGATACACCGAGAAGCAGATTGTGAGTGTAGCCCAATCCTCTGTTAGCAGGGCGGGCCTGCTGCGGGCCTGGGCCCTGGCCTGGCAGCTGTCAGGGTGGCTGTCTGAGGAGCTCTCCACCTTCCTTCCCCACCTTCCCCTTCCCCTCCAGCCCTCTCTCTCCTCTTCCTGCCTTCTCATTTGCCCCCACACCTTCCTGTCAGTTCATCCACCCTCCGCCTTCCATTTCGTCTTGCCTCCATCCCTACCTAGCCCACCCCTGTCTGGACCTCTCCCCTACGTCTCAGCTTCCAACTACCTCCCTCTCCCCTCACTCCACTCCCTTTACTATCCTTCCTTCACCTACCTCTCCCCTCTGTCCACCGCATCTCCCTTCTCCCCTCCCTCGCTGACCTCTCTCCTCCCTCCTTTCCCTCTCCCCCATTTTTTCCCTTTCCCCTTCCTCCCTTCCCTTAACCTCTCTCCCTCCCTACTGCTCCCCTCCCTCTCCCCCTTCCTCCACACCTTTCCCCTCCCTCCTTCTTCTCTCTCCTTTCCCTCTCTTCCCTCCCTTCCCTCTCCTCTCCCGCCCTTGCTTTCCCCCCCTTCCCTACCCACCTTTTTAAAGGCCACAAACTGCCTAATCTGAGTGCTCCTCCAGTAAGTCTTACCAGCCCTGGGAGGTATTCTTTCTAGGGAAGTTGCTGAGTAAAGCAGCTCTTATTGCTATTTTCTTTGGGTGTGTTCCCTTTGTTTACCTGGGTACTGCATGGAGCCCAGCCTTGGATAAGGTGGGTCCCTGGGCCAGCTTTGGGGCATACCTGCCTGAGATCAGCCTCAGGGGAGATCTGAGAGGGCTTCTGTGGGGTCCCTTCCCCTGATGCCTGTTACTGCGCCATCGCACAGAAGTGTGTCTGGGTGCCCTGCAGTGTCTTGATTTTGAGGGACACTGACTTTATGTGGGTGGTCTCCGAGTTAGCCAGTACCCCTTATACACAAGGTGCTGGTTCCAGAACAGGCTCAAGCCTTGCCTTGGAGTGGTATATTTGTGTATGTTTCACCAAGTATTAAAGGAAACATTTTCTTTCATTTGTGAAAAGCTAGCTTATATAAAGTAAGAAGAAACCCTAGGTGTTGCAGGCTGATTCATGTCTGTTCCAGTAGACTTCACTGCAATATGTGTGCCAAGGGTTCTGGTGAGGCAGCACCACGGGTGGCTGCACCTCTTCTGGTGTTGATGGAGGGTTGGGTTCCCAGCAGTCCCTACAGTGTGACAGTCAGGGAAGGCACAGCAGCCTGTGCGTCCAGTAGGGGGTGAGGGGATGAACTAGGGATTTCTCGGGAGAAGTGCTGAGCTGGGACTCAAGGCTGAGCTGGCATCTGGGGGAGGTATTCATCAAACAGCAGGTAATGCACAGGGGAGGGCATGTGTCCAGACTGAAGGGCGGAAGATGTGGGTCTGTGGTCAGGCTAGAGGGAAGCCATGAACAGACTGAGCTTCTGGAACATCCCCTCGCTTCTTAGTCTGGTGCAGATCTTGGACTCTGCTGGATGAGCTGGGGGTCATCTGGTCAGCTGGTGAGTGAGCTGGGAGCAGAAGGGTTGAGGACCTGGTCCCAGCAAAGAGCATATCCTGACGGCAATGCTGAGCGCAGTTGCCTGTCCTGTGGCCAACCGTGAGCATGTTGCCTGTGCACCTGCAAGATGGAGTGGGGCCTCCTCACACCGGGCAGGTGGTGGGTGGGCAGTTGGTGAGCACTCTGGGGCTCCTGGAGATGAGTCGTAGGTATGTGCTGACAGTGACTGCTTTCTTCTCTTCTGCACAGGGCTATCTCTTCATCTCTGTGCTGGTCAACTCCAACAGTGAGCTGATCCGTTTGATCAACAATGCCATCAAGAACGACCTGGCTAGCCGCAACCCCACCTTCATGGGCCTGGCACTGCACTGCATCGCCAATGTGGGCAGCCGTGAAATGGCTGAGGCGTTTGCTGGGGAGATCCCCAAGATCCTTGTGGCTGGGTATGTGGCTCATGGCACCTTGGACGTTAGAGGACACGGTGTCGAAAGAATCTGAACAAGGTCTTATCCACACGCACTGTGTTGGAGGAGAGGTGAGCAGTGTCTGGCTGGATTGAGGACCAGCTCATTTTAGAGGTGAAAGGCCAGGAGTAAGGGGTGACCAGTTAACCCTGCTGATGGGGGCAGGAAGACAAGGAGAGGGAAACAATGAAAGACAATTGCAAGTTCACACTCCAGGTGGCATCCTGGAGTGACGTCCTGGACCAAGGTGATCGCTCCTCACTGGAGGTTTAGGGAAGATTGACACAGACGGGGCTGAGCTGGCAGACACAGCCACCTGGAGAGGCCAGGCCTGTGCTGAGGCCAGGCGTGGGCATAGACCCTCTGCAGGGTGGCTGGCCACCTACCCTGAGGAGCATGGCACTGAGGCTGCAAGTCTTGGTTGCCTCCCAGTCAGTGAGAGGAACTGGGCTGAGTGGCTTTGGAAATAGTTCACAATCCTGTGTTGTCTGTTCTCCAAGGGCAGTTTGCCAGGGGAGCCTGGGATGCATGTCCTAAGAGTGGGTGGGCTCAGAGAGGGGCTGGGCTTCAGTGTTCCCAAAGGGGCGTGGCCTGCCTGGGGCGGGGCCTGCCTGGGGGCAAGGGCTTGTTGGGCAGGGCCTGTGAGTTGGGGGCCTGAGGTGGGGCCTGGTAGGCGGGGCTTGTTAGGGTGTGGCCTGGGGCGGGGCTTGGAGGGTGGCCCTGGAAGGCAGTGGAGCATCCTCTGCAGATGTGCAGGAGGGTGTTGGAGCAGTTAGATCTCTGCACTGCAGCGTGAAGGAGGGATCACTTGTCAGTGGGGATGACCCTGGCAAACCCAGCCCTGGTGTCTGTGCTGTGGTGGTCAGGAGCCTGCTGGTACTGCATGTGAATGTGCAAAGAGCACTGGTGTCGTGGCTGTGGAACTCTGCTGGGGACACGCCTGCAGTCTGACTTCTGGAGCCTGGCTTCCACACCGAGGAGCTCAGGGGCATGAAAGGGGGATGTGTGCATGTGGGGTATGTGTGCCAGCATGTGAGTGTGTGTAGTGTGTGTGGGAATGTGTATGGGTGTGTGTGCTATATGTGTGAGTGTGTAGGTCTGTTTGGTGTGTGTATATGGGCTGTGTGTAGTATGTCTGAGAATGTGTATTGGTGGGTAGTGTGTGTGAGCAAGTGTATGGGTGTGTGTGATTTGAATGGGTGTGTACATGAGGTGTGTGTTTGTGAAGGTACATGGATGTGTGAATGTGTATGAGGTATGGGGTGTGGTGTGTATGAGATTATGTATAGCCATGTGTTATTTGTATGACTGTGGATGTGTAGTATGTGACTTTGTGTTGTTGTTATGTGCCATCGAGTTGCTTGTGACTCATAGCAACCTTGTGTACAAGAGCTCTAAATGCCGTTCTGTCCTGTGCCAACCTAGTCATCTCAAACGCACTCATTCCCACCACTCCAGTCACAGAATCGATCCATCTCATCGAAGGTCTTCCTCTCCTGCACCGTCCCTCCACTCTGCCAAACATGATGT